GGCCGGGACCGGGGCCGGGGCTGCGGGGAGCTGGGACGCGCTGAGTACAGGGCAGGACGGGGCAGGGAGGGAGGCCTTGCTGCTCCCGCGCTTTCCTGGCAAGGGGTTCAGAGAGGTCGCCCCGGGTTGTCCCCTGCTGTCTCCGTCCCGCTCATTGCTGCCCCAGCTTTCAGATGAAGAACCAGCTCCTGGAGTCGCGGGACTGGGGGAGAGCCCCGAGCTGGGACCTTTCGGAGCTAACCTCCAGCCTGGCGCTCGGCAGGGGGGGGGGGGGGGGCCCCGCCTTGCCTTTAAAACCAAAAAAAAATTACAAAGCCCCAAAAGAATAAGTGAAAATGACCCCTCCCCGGATTGGCAGTGGCCTGGTTTGGCCCAAGTGCTCATTTCTGGAAGTTTGGGTTTGGCCCTAGGCCCTCAGGGGAAGAAAGCAACTGCTTGCGGCTAGAGGTTCAGAATTGGTTTATGAGGTTTGTCATAGGACGCTGAAGGAGGGGGATGCAGAAAACCCGCACAAGGGCAACTCCGTGGCACAGGGTGGCTGGGTGGGAGGACGCAACCAGGCTACATAGAGAGAATGTAGCCTACTTAAATGGGAGGTGGGTTAGGGTGGGGATCAGGGAGCTAAAAGCACGACGCTGGCCAAGGGAAGAAGATATGACGGCCCCGCGCAAAGAAGCCACGTGGTTGTAGTGTTGCGGGTTCTAAGGGATATATACAGATAGGAGTAATGGCATGCAGGGTACAATGGCAGGGGTAAGCAGGAGTCTAGATAGAAAGTGGTCTTAGTTCATGATCTGTTGATCAGGCTGTCCCCTCTGAGTCGCTTCTGGCCAGTGGTCTGCTGGGGTCCACATATTGGCGCTCACCCGTGATGTGCAACTCATGGATGTCCCTGGACTGTCTGATGGTGTCAGACACCATGAGGTGTCTCATCAGTTTGGTGCAGCAGTGGGATACTTGGCTTTGCTTGCTGGAGTCCCATGGTCCAATGTCCTGACAATCAGCACCTGCACCATCACTTCATATCCCCTGCTCCTCAGGGCATCTTCCAGTGGCTCCTCAGGGCATCTGCCAGGGAGTTCTGATCTTGGGCTTCGATAAAAGCTTGCTGCTGTTCTCAAATGGGATGGTGACATTGACCATTATGATACACTTGTTCTCATCAGCCACAACCATGTCCAGGCACAGCTGGCTCTCAGCCTGAAATGGTGCAGTTGATGGGACACAATCCCAGCTGAGGCTGGAATGGCCTTCACCAACCAGTCTTCCACAGTGTTGTGGCGCAGCTGCCACGCTCTGGCATGGGACTTACAAGCACATTGCATGTGGGGAAGAATCTCTGATTTGTAGCAACATCTCTGGCATCTCTTGTCACAGTTCCTGTAGTGAGTCAATTAATTCCACTTACGGTTTATGGTTTGCAATATCTATTATTGCTTATTTATCTCAGCAGTTCTTTCTATTGAAAACTATGCATGTCTGGAAAATCAGCAAGAAGAAAGAGAAACTAGAAGAGAAGTAATGACAAAAGTGACTGCAAAGGAGCCCAACTGCCACTCATGAGGTTTAAAGTGAAAGTAAGAATGGGTACATGATTGCTAAAGTTCTAGATGAAAAGGTATTCCAAAGGCATGCTTGTTTTATACCTGCTGTTGTATGACATTTTAATAGCAAAATGAAAGTCACCTTACACATAAACAATTAACAAACATACAACTGTGGGTCTGTAAACAGACATAACAGTCAATGTATGTCAAAACTTGACACTTTTGAACTTCCTGGCAAATTCTATAATTAAAGAAAAAAAGCCAGCACTTTATCTTGCTCATGTAGGAATAAGCTAAAGCTACATTATATGTTTAAAAGAATAATAATAATAATAATGATGATGATAATGATAACAATAAAACTTTAGGGCTAAGAGCTTGTCAGGAAAATTACCAGCACCAGAAATAAGATGTTAGACTTGGTACTGCAGCTCATTCTTACTAATGTGTTTATTACCCATGAATACTGTTATATTTGTGTGCAAAGAGAGAAATGCAGCAATGATGGACTGAGAGCCAAGGGGCTGCTGCTTCTGTATTTAGACAATGAAAAATGAGGAATGAGGATATTTATTCAATCTGCTGTGTATATTACCTGGCTTAGAATCTAATATTATGCTTATGTTAGCTTCCATGTCATATGTATATTTCTAATGGGCGGAATACTTCTAGTTAGAAAAATGACAGCATTTTATTCTGTAATATGAAGTGGGACACACAAATCTCAGTATTAATCCTTAGGCAAAATTCTGAAGTATTTAATCTCTAGAGCTGCTATTATTTTGTCATGCATGATGATTTTCCCAATCTTAATAACAACAGTAGAAAGGCAGAAATCACTATTGCTTTTATTATGAAAGTTTCCTTTATGGGACTCCATAACACCACTCACAGTTATTGAAGAATCTTTCCTAATGATCATAATTTCTCTTCAAAGAAGATAATGTGGCACAGAATTAACATAAGCATCAATGTTGTGTTTTGACAATTGCTGTAAAATCAAAGGGTGCTGTCCCACATGTACCATGATCAATATAACTCGTCTGTGCAGAGACACAAATCCCAGTACAGTGTACTGCCTTTACTTGCATTAAAACCAAAAAAAGACAGTGCACTTACCCTGAGCATGCACTTATCCAAACTGAAAGGTAAACTATGCTGATTGAGTACACAGCATCCTTAGTGCTGTATATTAGTAGGCCTGTGACTAAGACCCCTGAATGTCAAGCCTTCCAGTAGTCAGTTTTGGGACTGCTTTTAGAAGCCTTGAAAATGGGGGGAGACACCAGCTGTAAAACTAACTAGCTTCTATTATTTTCTAGGTTTCTAATAACAGACTATTAACAGGTTTCCATCTCAATTACTTCAAGTGTAGTTTTATGGAGTGCAGTTAGCTATAAAGTAGATGTTTATAGTTAATAGGCAGTTACATGGAGTAAAATTAACTTTAAAAAAAGAAGACAACAGGGCTGAAAGATGCTACTCACTTAAGTAGTTTTTCTTCCACTTGATCAGTATGTAGATGCCCAGGAGCACTCCAGTTAAGCAAATTACACATGTATCCAGCATACATTTCAGGGGAGTATACCGTACTGGCAAGGCTCCTATGAATGCCAACATTTTGTATTGTCAGATTGCCATGCTCCAACTGATTCTTTGGGGTGACATTCCCACTCCACAGAAGTAATGACAAAGGTGACTGCAAAGGAGCCCAACTGCCATTCATGAGGTTTAAAGTGAAAGTAAGAATGGGTACATGATTGCTAAAGTTCTAGATGAAAAGGTATTCCAAAGGAAAATTATTAAAAATATATTGCTTTACAATCTCATGATGTTTTACTAGCTCATTGTTTTACACCTCTATCATTTATTAAGTTTAATTACTCCTTAAGTATTTCTGAAGTGTAAAATATGGGGCAAAATCTGAGCATGTCTGAGTTTGAGTCAAATCCTTCACACAATTTTAAATACAATGTAGCCAACAATAGGTTACAGTACTAAAATGCCCCTGTTGAATTCACTCTTAAATCAAGCCCCTCTTTCTTCCACTGTGTGTCAGGAGCAGACCATTTCCTCTTTAATGTATATGCAGTGTTTTTGCTCTCTTCTTTATTTGATTTTCTGTGTTTCTCATATTGGACCACACTATTATTTGTAATGCAGAGTATATCATGATATAGCATATATATATGTCTACCCTATTATATATGTCCTGTAATAAAATTAATTCTGGCCTCAGATACAACATACAACTCCCTCAGAAACTGAGTTACATTTGGAAGTCTGATGGTACAATTTGAGCTTAATATATTTATTTTAAATAAAAAAATAAGGATTTTAACGAAAGAGATTTTGGGGCCAAAAATGTTAAATGGCAAGGGTTTACACTTGTGACAGCTATATTGAATAATTAGGTCAACCTTTTGAGAAAAAATACTTTAAATCCAACATTTTATATAAAACTTGCTAGATAAAATATTACTGTATTTTAAAGCAAGGGCTCAAAAGTCTCTTTAAAGAAGGATTATTTTACAAAGGACAAGTATGGCTCCAAACCATAATCTAATCATATAAAATGCCTGCTTGCTTAAAACTCTTAGCAATAGGACTCCTATGATGACTTTTCCTTGATAGTGCCCAATTTCTTTTCCCTCCCCGCATAAACCTTCTCAGTTGTAATATTTTGGTTGAAAAATAACATGGAAAAGATTTAAATTAGGTATAAAGTATACTACTGTATTTTTGCTTAAACAAAGTTTATACTGGTAACCAATACAATCTTCATCACTTCTTTGATATCAATGAAAGCCTTAATACCCTTTCATTGATGTAATTTAAAGGGAAAGTTAAATCATTAACCAGAAGGTAAAGTACATTATATGTTAAAAATAATAATAGATAGATCAACTTTCATAGTTTCAGAGTAGCTGGGGTCAGGAGGGACCTGAACAGATCATCTAGCCTGGCCCCCTTCCACAGGCAGGAATGAATGCTGGGTTCACAAGACCCCAGACAGGTAATCATCCAGCCTCCTCTTGAATTTGCCCAAGGTAGGGGCGAGGACCACCTCCCTGGGAAGTTGGTTCCAGATTTTGGCCACTCTAACTGTAAAATATTGCCTTCTGATCTCTAACCTAAACCTATTCTCCATCAGCTTATGACTATTGTTCCTCGTCACCCCAGGTGGTGCTGGGGAAAAAAGAGCTCTGCCTATTTGCTGTTTATCCCCCCGATGAGCTTGTAGGCAGCCACCAGGTCCCCCCCTCAGCCTTTTCTTGCTGAGGCTGAACAGGTTCAGGTCCCTCAGTCTCTCCTTGTAGGGCCTGTCCTGCTGCCCTCTCACCAAGCGGGTGGCCCTCCTCTGAACCCTCTCCAGGCTGGC